CGATATATAAATAGAAAACAAAAATTGTTGTGGGCTTCTACAGTAATCGGATCTCGAGCAGCTCCAAGTGAAGAAAACCTATGTAATTCAAAATTAATTGAACAAAATAATAAATAATTGAACAGCAAGGTAACACATGACAAAATAATTGTCATTTATCGGGCAACAAATGCGTTTCGCCCGGAACTCTACGGCACACTTTATTTATTGTTGAGCTGGTTAATTGGCATATTGCGTATACGCAACATTGGCGCTTTGAATATACTTATTTATTCATAATATTTAGCCCGTTTAGGCCACACTTCCGCTTTCATATGCGCTGCATTTGTTGTTATTTCACAATGACTTTAAATTCCTTATCGTACAAACTGATAAGCGCCAGCGTGCTGCAAAATAACAAAAGACCTCAATGAAATTGGCCTGCCATTGAGGTGAAAAACACATTTCTGTTTGTCGTATACTTGTGCACATACGATATATTATCAAGATTTGCACTTTTGCTGGCACTCACTTTGGCTTTCGACACCTGATAAGCGTCTTAAATATTGCTGCTGATATTAACGTGGCTATCTTATACGACCAAATCAATGAAAGTACGCAATACTTGTTAGCCAAGCTGGCAGCGATCTGACTTATCGTATGGGAGCAATGAACCCAAGTTCGGTAACTCTGAGTGTGATTGCGCATTTAATCAAATTCAAATCTAAATACTTATAAATATATATATAAAACGATTCTCTATCTAAATCAGAACATACGCCTATAGAACTGTAAATTGCCTCTAGCCTTTTGGCTCCACAGCGTTCGCGTTACCACAAAACAAAGTCTTGGGTTGTTTTTCTCTTAGCTTTTTATTCAATTACTGCTCGCTTTTACTTTTATATTGTTAGCCAAACTTCTTGATGTTGAAAATTGCGCTTAAGTTTTTCGGTGAAAGTTGTTCAAATAACAACACAAAGGCAAAAACAATTCGCGCTGTGCTAGTGTCTAATGCCTGGTCCTGGCCCCAACAATTTTCCGATCCAATTTTCGAGCACGTGTCTAATTCAATAAACTCATTTCGGTGTGGACTTTAATTGCATTTCAGTTGCTCAGCGCAACCACAAATCAAACCAAAACGAATGCAGCTCAATCCACAAAAACAATAACAACAACAACAGCAGCTACAATAGCAACAACAATAGCAGACAGACAGACAGACATACAACAAGAGACTATAAATTGCAGTTGCAACTAATTTTTATGCGGCATGCAAACGAATAGTCACTGGCCTAACATCCAATCCCCACCATATCCAGCGCACCCCCTTTGCCGCTCGGCGGGGCATATCATATCGCATCTCTGGAGCGCGCATATTTCCGACAGCCGCCGCTGCACATTGCAATGTAATTTTGCTTTCAACACCTTTTTTTTTATTGTTTTATTTTTCTGTGCCGCATGCAGCATGCAACGTTGCTGGCAGCGTCGCCTGCTGATTGCAACCAGCGGCGTGGGCAAATAATTGCCAACAAAACAGCGAACAGCGAACAGAGTACGGGCCAAAGTTGCATAGCTTAGGCGCATCGCCTGGCCAACAACTACAGCAGCAGCAGCAACAACAACAACAAATACAACCAAGTGAAAATCACTGCGCATTTCCCAGGCTCCGTTCAAGCGCTGGCCCCGAAATCGGCGCGAATATATCGCATTTCAATCACGCGCCAGAGCAGCGCCAATCCCCGAGCTCCTGGGCCTGTTTGCCTGGTCCGATCATCGCCAGTCGCAATTTACGTGCGGCCACGCAGTGAACCAGCCAGGGAGAGACTGAATCTCTGAGACTTTGAGACTCGGCCACCAATTTCCCAACAGCAACAGAAACAGCAACAAACACCCAACACCAAACAATAACAACAACAACATCAGCAACATCAACTGCAACAACTGCAGCTTGCAGTTTATTAAAGTTGCTGCGCAATCGAGCAGAAAGCAACGGCCTGTTTATTGTTGTTGTTGAACCTAACGGTACCGATTGTGCGCACAAAATGGCCACATCGTGATGGCTAAAACCGATCTCCCCTGCCTGATCTCCTCCCCCCAGCCGCAGCACGCGCCGCCTCATGTGGCAGCCAGGCCGGCCGGCAAAACAACGCCGCTGACCGCTGCCAACCGCTGCCAACCACTCCGCATCCCGGCTACCCCTCGGTCTAATGCAGAGATTTCAAATGTCGATTTATGCGCAAATTTACTTTTATGCGATTAGCAACGAGCGGCAAAAATTTATCGTCAAGTTTAGTCAATTTAATTGGGGCGCAGATGAGGCGGCCGCGCAAGTAGCCAACGAAGCGGAAGGTGCCAAATGGATAAAAGCCAAACTCTTGCTGCTCTGGCCCCTCCTCTCAGCAGCCCCTCCTACACACATACAAACACACACACACACACACTCGAAATGAATGCTGGTTATCCAGGGGCTGCAGACAAAGCGCGTGCATTAGACAAAGGCTAAAAACCAAACCTGGTAGCACTGCAATAAAATTTTATGGCAGCTGTTCTGAGAAGGAGCTGCATTCACTTCAATGCAACAGCAGCAGCTGAGCTCAGTCGTCGCTGCCTGCGGCCTCTGAATTTTGCACAATGGACCAAAATGTGTTTTGCGAAAGGGTTTGCGGACCGCGGCAGTCGTAGCCGTAGTCGCAGTCGCAGCAGCAGCAGCAGCACCTAGAATGCAATTTCACGTTTCGGCTTAAATGTAGCTGAAGTGCTGATGCCAGCGATAAGAAATGTTAACAAAAAGAAACTCCTGAAACGCTCTATAAACTGCATGATGTCAGCTCTTATAGACATATGTACGTAGCATGTGTATGCAACAAAAGTTGAATGTTTGTTTGAAAAGCACTGTAGGATCAAAGTCTGACAAACTAGTTGAACGTGGCAAACCTAGAAAATGTTTTGATCGTACCTGTAAAGCTAAAATGCACACGGGCAGAGCTAACTGAAAGCTTAAATTGGTCGTATTGTTAAAATAATAATTAGAAAACTTAAAACTCACCCTAATCTTTTGTTCCACACATCTGCTTTAAAACGTGTCTAACTAGAATAATGCACGCTTTACTGCTTAAAGTTCTCTCAAAGCTCTGCAGCGAAAGATGAACCAATTAAAAGCTTACTCAAGCCGAGCACCCTTCAGATTGACTAATAATGTATATTTTTCTGAGCATCTACTTTTCGTAAGAATAACTTTTTCAGCTTAAAAAATTAAGAGTTCTTTTCGAAGAAAAATCCTGTTATTGATTCAAGATATATACTTGAATTCTTGTTATCTACTTGAAATAGTTTTACGGTTTCAAGGAGCTTAAAGAAAACCGAACAGAGTTGCATTGAGCTGCATATTCTTGGTATTCAGCCTCCATTCTAAGACTTCGCTTGCCAGCCGGTCAATAAGACTAAGCCGCTTAAGTTAAATCATCAATAATTGCCCACGAGCAACAGCAGAAGCAGCAGAGGCAGCAGCAGGGGCAGCAGCAGGCACAGCTTATCAGCAATTCAGTTCTCATAATTCAACAGAGGATTCGACGGAAAATTCTGTCATTCAAATAATAATCCTGGCACGCAACCGGCAAATGGCTACTTGGCACAGCCAATGACAATGGCGACGTCTCAATTGTTTATAAGGAGATGCCATGGCAGCAGCAGCAGCAGGAGCAGTACAAAAAGCAGCAGCAACATTAGAAAATGCAGCAAATGCATAAGGAGCGCAGCTTTTCTTCCACTCAGCTTGATTACGAGGAGTCAGTCTTTCAAATCAGTTTTTTGCCGTACGAAATGTTTTGAATTTATGACACGCCGCGACTGTTGCGTCTTTTTTATCCTGAATCCTCTTTGGACTGCATCTATTTTGGCTGCACTCTTGGCCGAAAGTTGCCTTTGTCCAAGTTTTTCAAGCGTATAAATGCTGTTCATAATGCTAACGCCAAAGGATATCTGATTTAACAGCACCATTGTTGTTGTAGTTCTTTGTTGTTGCAGCTCCTTTTCGTTTTTTGTTGTTTTTGGCGTAGCCTTCAAGGTTGCCATAAGGTTAACTTAAAGCCAAAACGCAGAGTTGACGTCAGCGCCTCTTAAAAAATGGAATTGGTGACAAGCGAAAAATTAGCAAAAAATTCCCAAAAAATATATTTTGCGCAAGGTCAGTAAAATTTGCACAGCAACAAATTAGCCATAAAATATTTGTGAATGTTCTCTGTTTGATGCTATCGTAGCGGCTGCTAGTAGCTGCCAATTAATGACGAATGTGCAAAATTAACAACAAGAACAACCACAACTACAACAACTACAACACTAATATAAATAACAATGCAGGGGCATTCAAAATCGCTGGCCACAAAATTAGCTAAATGGAAAAATAGTTTTGCGCCGCTTTTTGCATTGAAATGCCTCACGGGGTGATTATCGTAAAGAGACCTCGTCACATGGTTGTTGCGAATTACAACGACAACGACAACAACAACAATGACAACAATAACAACAAAAACAACGATAAAAGCAACAACAATGAGCTGCGGCTGCTTTGATGTTGCTTAGAGTTTAGGCTTATGCGAAGGCGTCTAATTAAAGCCGAGCCTCAGAACAACTGGGCCAATGCTGGCCTTCTAAATTCTTGGAATTGCCAACACATTAATGAAGATGAAGAGATATCTGCCAGGGTGATGCAATCAGTAAACGTATTATAACAAGAAAATTAGTTTTATCTGTAAACATTTACGAAATTTGAAATATTTACAATCGTTTTTGCTCAATGACACTAGTTGATTACAGTCAAGCGAGACAAATTTCAGTTAATCGAGTTTTAAATTATTCAATTTGTATTGCTAGAAATACAAATAAATAAGTATATTTGGCTTTAATGAAGGAAAAGTTTTAGGGTTGGTTAAATGTTTTTATTAGTTATGAAATTGAATTTAATGAGATAATTTGCTTACAATATCCTTTAATCTAATTCTTTCCTTGCTTTCTCTTTATTGCAGCTCACGGAAGCGTCCGCCAAGCGACTCTTATGATTGCAGCAGTGATCAATGCAAAGTGGACGATATGAATGAATGCAATGCAGCATTAATTTTAATGAATCTACACAACTCGCCGCATGCCGGTAGGTTGCATGCACTTATGCATTATTATTTGTGCAATTTTCACGAGTTTTTGTTGCTTTGTTCTATCACAGTTTCAGACAAATGGCTGGGCTCCAGTCCAGGCAGCAGCTCGTCAGCCTCTTGGAGCTCTGGCTCGGCCTCGCCGCCGTTGAGCGATGATGGAAATGTGCTGCACGGTCACATAATTTTGTCGCCGCAATGTGCGGCCAGTGCATCGGCCAATGCACGCATACGCACAACCTCGGTATCCACATCAGATGAGGGTATTGTCATCGACTTCAAGGAGGAGCGCAAGAAGAAGGTAGGTCACACACACTCACACATCCATTTATCTAGAGAGTGAGATACAGATAAGATCAAAGGAATGCGGTCAGTCTGCCAAACAGAGCGCAACGCCACAAAATTTGTTGCATTTTAATTGCAACTTTGTATACCGATTTTAATTGCTATAATTATATTTATGTAAATGCCTGTGCATAATATTTGGCAAACGGTAGCAAAAGCAACAGCATATATGCAATACACGGCGTATGCTTGATTCCCACCTTGATTCATTACTCATACGCAAGATGTGGCGGCAGCGGCGGGAATTGTGAAAAGTCAGGAAATTAAATAAATGCCGAAAACGAGCCCATAAAAAGAACTCATCAATCAAAGGGCAACGTGAACAGCTCGTTAACTGCACGGCAACGAGATATACATACACACATATATATATATATATATATACACACAAGCACACATAACAAAAATCAATGAGCAAAAGTTCGGCCCTTTCATATAGTTCGCTCGTTTCTTTTCTCTCGCTCGCTCTATTTTCAAGTTGTAGTAGATATAGTTCGCGACTTTCTTAGTTATGCTTGAAAAGTATTAAGTGGACTCTAACACAAAAGTTAAGAAGCTTACGCAACTTTTAGCTGCTACTCCCTGCACTCTCCTGCCTTTTTTTTTTAGACTATACTTTGCAATTTGTTTGCGCTCAAATTGAATGCCCTAGTTAGTCTAGTTGATACACATACATGTTTTTTTTCCGTACTCTCAGATCAGTTTTTAGTTTGCTTGTGTGTGTGTGCCTGTTGTTTTAAGGGCTGTCAACACTCACATGCACACACAAGGCCAAAAGCAAACAACAACTGCAGATGGGATACATATCAAAAGTGAGCATCGGCAGTTTGTCGAGCCTTTGTTAACCTTGAATATATGATAAGATTTTATTTACATTAACGCAAATAGCACCCGCGTCACCCCTTTATAAGCATACTTTTGTTTGTTTTTCTTGTTTTGAGGGCTGCTCGTGCAGAGAGCGATAAAGTATTGGGCGCGGCGATAAGACTGCTCGCCAGGCGGCTAAAGGTTTGCCATAATGAATCCCAAATATCATCAGATAATTAAATATACGCTTTGAGTGTACAATCATTTACTATTTTGAAATGAGTAAAACTCAATTTAATACCAGACATCATGTATTTCCTGTATGTAAGTGCCACTAGCAGCTAGTTTCATTGTGATTAAAATAATTTTTATTTATTTTAATCCGACAACTTCAGCTCGACTCCTTTCCCTTTGGCTAGACTTTCACTTTGTGCTCTGTCCGGCTGATTACCTGTTGCACAAGTCGGCCACAGCAATATAAACAAAAATAAAAAAATGTTGCCGAAAATGTCATGTTTCCGGTTGTCGTTCGAATCTATATATGTCAGACTGGCAGCTGGCACGCCCAGCTGTGGGCGCAGCCGTGTGCTACTGTAGAGGGGCGGGAGGGCAACAATTCCAAATTGATTTGCGCCCAATTGCTTGGCGGCCTATTTGAAAGACATTTGCAACATTTCCGCATAATCTTGAGTGTGGCAAAAGCAAACACAAAGCAGACAAGCTGCCACAGATATGTGAATAGATAAGTGGATAGATAGATGGATAGATAGATGGTTGCTTGAATGGATAAATGTGCGCTACGCAAAATGATCTCAGCGCTGGCATTGAGCGGCAGTTTTTGTGTAAAATGCAATGAATGCAATTAATGGATAATTGTGCGCAATTATTGCCGCTGTCGGGCAAGGGAAGCGCAGTCACAGGCAATGAGCAGTTGCTCTAAACGCTTGACAGCCATGGCCACGTGTCGTATACGTAACGTGCATTACTCATACGCACCATGCGCGTGTGTTAAACGCGTCGGTGCTTTGTCTGCCTGCAGCTGAGCAGCCACAAAGTGTTTGGCGCAACATGGCGCATGATTAACCTTCATTACTCAACCGAGCGGCGACCGTTTGTAAATTACTCATACGCCATGATGGCTTTTGTTTTGTGTGCAGTTGTGGTAAAAATGATTTTAAATGCAGATTTATGTGCATTTAACAATAACAGCAGTGACAACTGCAGCCACTGCCACTGCCACAGCTACAGCCACATCCACATCCACACTCACGGACTTTTGCCTTTTAATCAAGGCTGCGATTACAAGGCTGCCGCACCACTCGATTGCCAACCGGGGCAAGCCCATTGGCTTTTGTTTAAGTGCTGCTCGTAAATTGCCTGCACACTATTGCCTTCTATCTGAGCCCTTGTGGGTTGGGAGGTCAACTGAGAAGCCCTAGGGATCAAATGTTCCTATGATTGAAGGCTCTATGAAAAAGGTTAGCTATGCCAAAAGGCAGGATAATTGCAGAGAAGTGAATATTAAAGAGTCATATTTAAATTGCCGGCCGTATTATATTTTCACTCAGACATTTTCAAATGGAATTTCAATTAGCAGCAGCTCTTGTGGCATCGATTTTGTACTTAAATTGAATTAACAAAAACTTTGTTGCACATTTCCTGCCAGAAATGCATAAAAATTGGCCCGCTGCCTTTGTGTGCAACTTTATTTGTTGTGTAGACCCGGCTAATTGCATGTTCTATGTATAAGCTTTGCGAATTTTGCTATACGGTTTTGCGGCTCTTTTATTTTTGTTTTGTTTTCTAACTAATTTGTTTTATAACATCAATAGTAGCAGCCAAAGCTAACAAAAGCAAACGCAAATTATAGTGCAAAACAACGCAGACAGCGCGGCGTGTGCAATGCACTGACATTGGTGCAATGCCGCGAAGGGGTTTGCTGCTTGGTGAGCTCGGGGGCAACCAGGTGGGGGCGGGGCTGAGGCTTAGCCTAATGGCAGTCGAATAGAAGGGCAGGGTATGCTATTGCGGTTTAGCTTTTGCAATGCTGACAGTTGCAAAGCAACAAAACAACAACAGCAACAAAAAGTTCAGGCAGCGGCTGTGACTACTAAATGCCAAATGCAGTCGTCGCTGCCAGCCAACATGGCGCGGCACACGTGTCGCTTTAGCTATGTATCTGTGAGTGTGTTTGTCAGTTTGTGTGCGTGTGTGTGTGTGTGTGTGTGTGCTGGCGTGTGCTGGCAGCTTAGCTGCATTTGCCTTTTTCGACAAAGCAAAAAAGCGCATAGCATGCGGCCCACCATTTGTGCAGTTGCTGCATTACTTTTGACAGATTGATGTAGCTACGACTCTATACAGCAATTGGCCAATGTGATTGATTTTATAAGTTTTCTCACACAATATATCACTGTCAGTTTTCACAGCAATGTGTTAAAAGCTTTGAAAGTACCTGAAAGTTTCGCGCTGTTGAACTATTCATTTGATTTTATTATTTTGTACTTATTCGAAAAATGTTTAACTAAACACAAATTGTACTTTAAAAGATATATCTCAATATTACATAGTGAGCAAAATCTATACGAGCATAGACAGCGGACCCTTTACAGGGTATTTTGTGATCCACCAACATTTATATTTAGACAAGCCGCTTGTGCCTATCCACAATTTTGCTGTTGGTTTGTTTGTTTTCAATTTTGTTACATTTCTAAATAAGCTTAAATTTATATTTATGATTTTCGGTGTACACGGCCATTGTCACATTTTACCTATCTGTCTCTGTGCCATTCTCTTTCTCCCTCTCGCTCGCTCTCGGGTTCTATCTCTCTGTCGCACCTACACCTGCACCTACAGAGTGGCAGTATTCGTATCTCTTACTGCTAAATGGATTTTACAGCATGTACCTCAAATTTGGCTTTACTATATGCATTTATTTTTAACCGGAACGAACGAAAAATATAGCAAAATTTAATTAAAAATTGTACAATTCAAGTGCCAATGTGTATGTGCGAGTGTGTGTGTGTGTGTGAGAGTGTGTGCAGCAACCTTGAAACAACATTCACTTGGCAAACACAAACACACTCACACTCACACACACGCACGCAGGCACACACACACAACCACAGATTGGCAAACAGCTTCGGCGATGCCTTTGGCACTTGATTCATAAGCCAACGTCGTATTAATTTCACTCATATGGCAAAATAACCTTGAATTCTGATTAGGAAGCAATTTAAATTTATCTATCAGTCATTTTGCCTGCCGCGTTGCTCTTTGCGCTGACCGCTTTGTTGACTTTATTGAGTTATTATTGAGTTGGCATTATTAAAACTTAATTGTGCTGCTAAAAAGCCATTTATCGCCCTCTGCCTCGCAGAAACAACCTACCGACTCCTACTCTCACCCCCACCTCCACTTACCGTCGCCTGTGAGTTACCACGTGCCACCTGGCACCATGTGCAATTTGTAAATCATTAGCGCAACCATTGCAAATGACTTGGCCCAAGTGTCGTCAACGTCAACAAAGTCTTGACTGCGCGATGCCTGCTTGGGCAAAACGGGGCGTATGAGTAATGACTGCGCAACAGCTGAGCACATTGTGTGTGCATATAAGTGATTATACCTTAAACCGACTGACTGTCTGCCCACGCTCCGCACAGCTCTGTTTTGAGTGCACAAAACAATTGCTAAATGGACATTTCTAACTTGGCAAGAGCTTTTCGAAGATTTGTGTAGGATTTGCTAGCATTAGCCATTTAATATCCGTCTATGTAAACTTTGCTTTTAACATGTCTCGCCAGGGAGTTGAGCCTTAAACCATCTCAGTCAGAGTCTGAAATTGAAAAATCCTTTTTCGACGCTCCACTCCAAGCAATTGCATTATGCGTGTTATTTGGCCAAAGTAGCCGACACAAAGTGAAAAGTCATACATAAAACGAAGTTTACTGTTTGTTTAGTTCCGAATTTATGGGTTTGAAAATTGAGCGTAAAGCTGTCAAATGCATTGAAATAAAACCAAAATCTGAAAACTCCTCTCCGCAAAATAAAAACAAATCCCAAAGCCAAAAGCCAAGTCTCAGCGGAAGCGCATAGCAAAAACTAGCAGACGAGCTACTTGCACCAGCAGTACGCAACAATTCGTCTGCGTCA